AGTCAAAGGTTTGTAATATAGAATAGTACAATATAAAATAGCTATGTCTTAAATGTGTGGATACACTACATTGTATCAACACAATATCATCCCTAAACAATAAACCCTAGCCACCATATTAAATATTAAAACACAAGACAAGCCTGTAATTACTAAATCTAAACACTGATCTATAAACCCAAATAAAATCTATATAATATGTTTCAAATTTATCTTACCGTAGTATAAATAGTATGTGTGGGAACCGAGATTCACACTTGTCGATTTCCGTTAAATAAGGAAACTTAGGAAAACCCTAATTTCCCAAAGGAACCAGATCTCTGCGAAAGCCAACGACAAGTAACCAAATAAATGCGGAAAAATATGAAAAACGCGATAAAACAAATTTATAAAGAAAGTCAATCTTATTTCCGATTCGCGTAAGAGCGTTGCGATCATTACAAGGAATTACAAAGGCTTTGGCCGCAGGGGCCATCAGCGATTTATAAACATAAAACCTTAGATCTAGTCGAGTCGCAGCTCGATAACGAAAGACGGAAAAAGATAGGAAAAAAGGTTTGATTGATTTCGGACTGAACCTTATAAAAGGCTGCCTACGTACCCCTTTCGGGGATCAAGTAAAACGTAGTTCAGTTGATAGAGCTGGACCAGAGATCGAACTGCCTGGGCGAGTTCGTCTAGTAATTGAGCGCCAGTCATAGAAACCGATCTTGTCGAGAAAAAGCCTAAGTTTCTAAGTGCAGAAAATTCTAAGTCTAGAAAAGTTGTAAAAATCTCAGATGAGAGCTCTGAAATTCGTCCCCTTGCTTCTGCCCTATGCCTCTTGCTTATATACTCTCTTCCTAGGCGGTTTAGTCTTTCCATTTCGCCCAGATTCGAGTTTAGTGGGAATCTTCCATTTATCTCGATCTTTCTTTTTTTTCCCGCGGAAATCTTCTATTTATCCTCAAACTTGACATTTATCTTCAAGTTTGACATTTATCTTCTTTCTACGGGTAAATCGCCAAAACTTCGTCGTATCTTCGGGTTGGACTTCGTTTAAAGTCGCGAGTGGCTTTTATCGCATTTTATGACTTTCCGAGCCGTTTTGCGATAAATCCGTTTTACGACTTTAGACGAGATCGTTTCCTGATACGATGCCGTTTTTAGATAAGTTTCTCGAGTTAATCGTGAAGCTAAGCAATGTTCGATGTTTCGATTAATCGTTACCGTTTTCTACGATTTACTCGGGGTTTTATTAAAATCGCGTTTTGTACGATTTTTACGAAAAATCTCGAATAAATCGTATAGTTTAGGCGATATTTGGTGTTTCGTTTAACCTTTGCCGTTTTATACGATTTCCTCGAGTTCTTTCGAGAAAACAAAGTTTTACGGTTTTTATCGTAAACCTCGAACGATAGGACGGATCGAGACGAAACGGGAGACATTTCGACCGTGATTCGGAATACGATCGTGTCGAAGGACGTATGCCTTGAATCAAGGATGTGGGAGATCGAGGCTCAGGATGGCCGGCTCGACGTACAGCGAGCTAGTTCAGCTTGGCTAGGTCGCCATATGGCGAACTAGGCGAAAAGAACCAGTGGGGCAAAGTCAGCACCTCTGATTTCGCCCAACGGCGATCTAGCCGGGACGAGGTGGGCGAACTAGTCGTGACTAGTTCGCGTTTTACGGCAGTTTCGGTTTTTCGCGGTTTTGTAAAAAAGTATCTTCGAGTTTTATAAAACGATTCTCGAGTTTTATAAAATGATTCTCGAGTTTTATAAAACGATTCTTCGAATTTTATAAAACGATTCTTAGAATTTTATAAAACGATTCTCGAGTTTTATAAAACGATTCTTCTAGTTTTATAAAACGACTTCTCGAGTTTTATAAAATGATCTTCGAGTTTTATAAAACGATCTTCGAGTTTTATAAAACGGCTTCTCGAGTTTTATAAAACGATCTTCTAGTTATATAAAACGGCTTCTCGAGTTTTATAAAACAATCTTCGAGTTTTATAAAACGGCTTCTCGAGTTTTATAAAACGATCTTCGAGTTTTATAAAACGGCTTCTCGAGTTTTATAAAACAATCTTCGAGTTTTATAAAACGGCTTCTCGAGTTTTATAAAACGATCTTCGAGTTTTATAAAACGGCTTCTCGAGTTTTATGAAAAGATCTTCGAGTTTTATAAAACGATCTTCGAGTTTTATAAAACGGCTTCTCGAGTTTTATAAAACGATCCTCGAGTTTTGTAAAACGATCCTCGAGTTTTATAAAATGATCTTCGAGTTTTATAAAACGGCTTCTCGAGTTTTATAAAATGATCCTCGAGTTTTATAAAACGATTCTCGAGTTTTATAAAACAATTCTTCGAGTTTTATAAAACGATTCTCGAGTTTTATAGAACGATTCTTTGAGTTTTATAAAACGATTCTCGAGTTTTATAAAACGATCCTCAAGTTTTATAAAATGATTCTCGAGTTTTATAAAACGATCCTCGGATTTTATAAAACGATTCTCGAGTTTTATAAAACGGTCCTCGAGTTTTATAAAACGACCCTCGAGTTTTATAAAACGATTCTTTGGGTTTTACAAAACGATTCCTTTTATATTTCTGCGGGGAGTTTCGGCCGTTGATTCCGTCGTACCGATTTTGACCCCAACAGTATGGAACCTTTATAAACAGTGTAGCTTGTGCATTTTACTCCATTGCAATTAGTTTCTATATGCATAAGTACTAAATCCGAAGCTAAACCTCTACTTAGTAAATCTAAACCCTAATCAATGATCTATGAACCCAAATACAATCTATATACTATGGGTCCTCTATGTATGCAAATTTTTCTTACCGTAGTATACATGGAACCTTTGTAAATAGTGTAGCTGGTTCATTTTACTCCATCTTAATTAGTTATTATATACATAAATACTCAATCCGAAGCTAAATCCCTACTTAGTAAATCTAAACCTTAATCTCGGAAAACCCAAATACAATCTATATACTTTGGGTCCTCTTTATACGCCGGTTTAGTCATATAATGGAGTCTTTTGTGAGACCAGTAACTACCAACAACATAATACTATGTACAAGGAAATTAGTATACTATAATTAAAGAAGATAAAATAGAACAAACCACGCCGGAGACAAATAGTTACAGACACTGTAAATGAAATATCAAATGATATTAGCTAGTTTGGAAATTATAATTTTATGTAGCTAATATGTATAAATGGTGGAATAAGTTGGTACCTGGGGAACACACTCAGTTTACAGTAGAAAAAAAAATCACCTAAGGCTTCAATTAAAAAAGTTGATATGCTCTCTCTTTGGTGAGATCTGGCCAGATGGGAGAACATAAATTCTTAATCCACAAACATGAGAAGGAAAACGTGCAGGTATTTGGATGTAATGACAATACAGAATGAATTGAATTCTGTAAAATATGTAGAATGGACAATGTGGCAAATAGAATAGAATTGTTTCATAGTCTATACTATGTAAAATTAACATACAAAACTAGTAAATGAAGAACTCCATAACAAACGAAGTACGCTACTTTATGTGTATAGTACATGTAAATCCATTCCATGTACCACAATGGAGAACACGTTATAATGTTCTATTCTACTCTTATTATATACTATGTCAAATTAATATACCAAACTAAAATAGTTCTAGACTGTTATATTCCATGTACCACAAAATAGAACACGCTAGACTATTCTATTCTACTCGTCGTTTAGCAACTTAACATACCAAACTAGGCTCAGAAAGACACCATAACATACACCTAAATGAGCCTAGGACCCTAACTTAAAGACAGATCTGACACAAACAAATCCTAAACTTAGAAAACCAAAGAAACCGTTCATAGTGGACATGCAGGAGGAAAATCAGACATTTTTATCAAAAGAGATGAATAATAATAGAAGACAGAAGATTTGGAATAAGAAACGCTTCACATCAAGCATAAATCATAGCTTACCAAAGATTAAGAATCTGTAGAAGTTGATGAGAGTTCGAACTTGAAATCGCTGGTGTAGGAATCTGATCTAATTGTGAATAGGGTTTTGAGTATGGACTATTTGGAACCGCGTGATAGAGACAGAGTAAGAAGGGACGACTGTTTCTCCCCTTCTAGAAACCGAAATCTTCACTTCAATTGCGGAGAAAGTTCTGAGAGGGTGAGTAACTTCTGGCTCAACTGTTCATCTTCCCGATAAAGTGAGGAGAAGAAGTTAGTAGAGTAAGAAGGTGTGGAAGTAAAAAGGGAGACGCGTAAAGTTTACAACTGTGGTAATTATTTACTTTTTTATTTTATCCCAAGAAATTGTGCCGGTTGTTTGCGAGGACAAAAGAGGTATTATATAGAAAATACACACTATGTATAGGTGTTGTAGGGTTTTTGGTTAGACGGTGAATTATAAAGTGTTTGGAGGCTATTGAGTGCAATTTTTCAAAAAAAAAAGTTGCTCCTCGAAAAAAAAATAGTTACCAATGATTTGGAGTGACTACAACACTTCATGTAACAAAGTCAAACGTGGCAACACAGCTTTGAACGCTTCATCATCACACACGTCGGCTAAAAACCATAACCAAGGAAAACAAAAAAAAAAGAACCGAGAAGCTTTTGCATACTGTTACGAGCTGTCTCCTTTGTAATCATCTAAAAAAATGATCTGACCTTTTTTTATGTCCAAATCGCAATTCGATTTAGGGTCATAGCTCTCCCAAAGAGTGATTCTGTTTCTGGGTTTGATGATCATTCTTTGGTAGGCAGATAAAGACGACGCTTTGATTGATTTGGAACTTAGGTTTTACTCTCTATCTCCAGTTTCACACTTGCCGTAGGTTTGTGGTTAAATTGATGTTCGGTATTATCGTAATCACTGATTGTTTTGTTTGATTTAGTTTGTGTTTTAGTAGTTTGGTCTCACTGCCTGAATTTGTTATTGATGAAACTTGATCAGGTAAGCTATTATGGTACAAGAGAATATCCATGGTGGTTATAAGCTATAATGTTTTTTGAACCAAATGAGTTAGATTCTGATGACATGGGATATGCAATGAGTAGACTTGAGACTGAATCTGATGCTGGAGAAGACTTTTCTGGAGTTGGTAGTAGTAGTCACAGATCAGGTGAGCATTTGGCAGGTTTAGACCATGAGATCAACCAGATCACTAAGTTGAAGTCTAGTCCTCATCAACGGTATAGCCGTGTAGCTCCTGGGAGACATGAGTTACCTGTTTCCACTGTGAGGATGTTGGCTGGTCGAGAAAGTAATTTCTCTGGAAGAGGAGGAAGGTTTTCCGCAGCTGATTGTTGCCATATGTTAAGTAGATACTTGCCTGTTAAAGGTCCTTGGCTTGTAGATCAAATGAACAGCCGAGCTTATGTCTCTCAGTTTTCAACTGATGGATCTCTCTTTATCGCTGGGTTTCAGGTATGATTCTCTCTTGTCTTGTGTCTGTCTTCATGCTTTTGCATTGACTTTGGTTGAATGCTACTTTTTTAGGGAAGCCATATTCGGATTTATAATGTAGACAAGGGTTGGAAAGTTCAAAAGGATATTCTTGCAAAAAGCTTGCGTTGGACTGTTACTGATACTTCTCTGTCTCCTGATCAGCGGAATCTGGTAAGATTTTTTGTATCTTAAACTAGTTGTTAATGTTTTGATTAAAACAGTTTCAGATATGATTTTAAGTGCTATTTGTTTTGACCTCATTACTCTTATCTTTCATAGTGAAGAATGCAGAGTAGTGAAACGTTTTTGATATTGGCAGGTTTATGCAAGCATGTCACCTATTGTTCACATTGTTGATGTTGGCTCTGGTACAACCGAGTCTCATGCAAATGTTACGGTATGGACTCACAGAACATTAGAATGAGATGTGATATCTGCTTCATGTTTTTTTCTTTATTCTCCTTTTGAGCAGCTTCTTGATTAAATTGAGGTCCTTGTTTTTTTTGCAGGAGATACATGATGGTTTAGACTTCTCAACTGATGAAGATGGAGGGTACTCTTTTGGAATATTCTCTGTTAAATTTTCAACGGATGGACGAGAACTTGTTGCTGGGAGCAGTGATGATTCCATTTATGTATATGACCTTGAAGCAAATCGAGTTTCTCTCCGGACTGTTGCACACACGGTAAAAATAATTTCTTGTTTGGTTCTGTAGCTCTTTCATTCATGCTTTTTATTGGAATACTGATAGCATATTCTCCATTGCTGCAGTCTGATGTAAATACTGTGTGTTTTGCTGATGAAAGTGGAAATCTGATTCTCTCTGGAGGTGATGATAATCTCTGCAAGGTAAGTTACATTAATTTTTGTTTGTCTTTATAATCAAAAGTGTAACAGGATCTTGTTTACATGAATAGGTGTGGGATAGGCGTTGTTTCATTGGGAGAGAAAAGGCAGCTGGTGTTCTTGTAGGACACCTTGAAGGTGTTACATTTATCGATAGCCGTGGAGATGGTCGCTATTTCATATCAAATGGCAAAGACCAAACCATCAAGTTATGGGATATCAGAAAAATGTCCTCAACACCACCTGCAACGTAACAATCTTCTTACATCATTGGTTTCTTCTAGCTTACTATATAATAAGGGATTTTAGAATAAAGTTGTTTTGTGTTCTATTTTTCTTACATAGACATGAGGTGCCTAGAAACTATGAATGGGATTATAGATGGATGGAGTATCCTCCTGAAGCAAGAGATCTAAAGCACCCTTTTGATCAGTCAGTGTCCACATATAAAGGTCACTCAGTGTTGCGTACTCTTATCCGTTGCTACTTCTCTCCAGTGCATAGGTCAGTCTTCTAAAAGTTCCATAATGTTTCAAGCTTGACATAGAACAACTCTCTTTACTTGTGTCCCTGATTCTTTTGGTATTTATGCTTATAGTACTGGCCAAAAGTACATATACACAGGTTCTAACGATAGCTCTGTCTACATATATGACTTGGTAATGGCTTTATCCTACTCGTTAAGACATTCAAGAGACAATCATATCCCCTTTGTGTTTTCAGTTTGATAGCTGTATCCTTTTTGACCAATCTTGGAACCTAATAATCTGTTCTTAGGTAAGTGGAGATAAAATGGCAGTGCTAAAGCACCATATTTCACCTGTGAGAGACTGTAATTGGCATCCTCATTACCCGACGCTTATAAGCTCGTCGTGGGACGGAGATCTTGTGAAATGGGAATTTCCGGGGAGCGGTGAGGCGCCAATCATGAGCAAGAAGAGGGTTCGGAGGAGACATTTATACTACTGACCATCTACATCTATACATACTCATTTATGTGTGTGTCTCTGTAAGTTAATATGTAAAATGTAGAGAGTACGATGATTGATGGTATAAACACAAGTGAGAATCATCAAATAAGGCTTTTAACGTTAAAAAGCTATATTGCTATGGTGTATGTTGTTTTAAGGAAAAGTATCATTCGTGTACCAAAATAATAAAGTAGTCTTCTCTTCTCTAACCATTTTTTTAAAAAGTTATATTTATATGTTCTAATGGATGCAGTGCTAATTTATTGTATGTTTGTTGGCTTGGTTTCAGCTATTACTTCCAAGATTCAAAATAAATTATTTTGGGGTCTTTTAAGATTCATTATATGTTTTAGTTTTGAGAAATTCTCTAAGATAGACTTAAAACTTTTTTTTATCACAAATATAAATTTTAAAAATAAAAATGATCAAAATAAATTTAATATTTTATCAAAAGAAGTAATTTACATTTATACACATAGGTTAATTAATCTATACATCAGAATTTATAGTTAAGAGGTGAGATTTAGGGTTTAAGGTTTATGTTTCAGGATTTAGGGTTTGAGTTTAGGATTTAGAGTTGAGTAGTAAGGTTTTGAGGATATGATTTCAAATTTTAAAATAAATACTCCCTCTGTTCCTAAAAGATTCATATTCTAGTTTTTTCACACTTTTTAATAAAACACAATAAATTTGCATAGTTTTTTTGTTTTTATCTTCTTTCCATAATTTTAAACCAATCAAAAATCAATTAGTGCAATTAAGTTTTTTGAAGTTTACAATTATTTAATAAAACATACATTGAAAATGTAAAAAATGGATCTTTTAGAAATAAATTTTTTTTCTAGAATATGTATCTTTAAGGAACGGAGGGAGTAAAAATTAAAATTTTCAACTAAAAATGGTTATTTTGGTCATTTTAGTTTTTGAGTTCCACTACAAGAAAACTAAGAGTTTACAAGGAAATTTTACTAGGAAAATAATTCCTCGTAAATTTACTACGAGTTTACTTCGGGTTTACGAGGAAAACAAGTTTCATCGTAAAGGTACGAGAAAACGTTTTCCTCGTAAAACCGTATTAAAATTACGAGGAAACTATGTGGTAAAAGACTATTTCCTCGTAATCTCGTAGTAAATACTTTTCTAGTAAAGTCCTAGTAAAATGTTACTACGAATTTAGGAGAAAATGATCTTTTACTTCAAATTAGCGAGGAAATTGATAGAAAATGTCTAATTTAAATCTAAAACGTGTATTGTACCTACCTTTCCTAGCAATTTCCTAGTAAATACTCAGATTCGAAAATTTCTATAAGTACCACCATTTGTGATTCATTTCAAACACACAAAAAAAATCAGCTTTAAGCTTGATCAAAGACAAAAAAAAATGTCCGATCCGGGAAATATTTTCGAGTTTCGGAAGTGGATGTATTCACACAGAGATAATAACATGAGAGTGACGAAAGATCTCTAAGGGTTGGAGACGTTTATGCATCAAGCAGATTCTACACCACTCACGTAGGAAAGTGGTAAGATGTTATGTCCTCGTCGGAAATGATAGTGAAAATGTTTGGAAGCATTTAATAAATAGAGGTTTCATGCCATATTATTATATTTGGTATCAACATGGAGAAGATGCTAGTTGTAGGAATGAAGGTACCAGTAGTAATAGCAATTTTCAGGATGAACCGGTTGATCATTTACGTAATGAAAATAGCTATCATCACCAAGATGAACAAATGGTAGATTGTGATAGGGTTCATGATATGGTAGGTGATGCATTTGTAACTCATGATGATGATGAAGTTGAAGAACCTAACTTAGATGCAAAAAAATTTTATGAAATGTTAGAAGCTGCGAATGAGCCAATTTACAGTGGTTGTAAAGAAGATATGTCTACATTTTCTTTGGTTGCTAGAATGATGAGTATTAAAACCGATCACAATCTACCTGAAAATCGTATGGATGCATGGACAGACTTGTTTAAAGAGTATTTGCCAGAAGACAATGTGTCTGCTGAAACTTATTATCAGATTTAGAAATTGGTATATAGTCTTGGGTTGCCCTCGGAGATGATAGACGTTTGTATCGACAACTGCATGATTTACTGGGGAGATGATGAGAAGTTAGAAGAATGTAGATTTTGTAAGAAGCCACGATTCAAACCGCAAGCTCAAGGGCGTAATAGGGTACCGTACCAAAGGATGTGGTACCTATCAATCACAGACAGATTGAAAAGATTGTACCAATCTGAGGAAACTGCTGGAGGGATGAGATGGCACGCCGAGCATACTCAGACGGATGGATGAGTCAGATGCAAGAGCCTGGAAACATTTTAACAATGTACATCCACATTTCGCTAGCAATAGCCGGAATGTGTATCTTGGATTATGCACTGATGGATTTAATCCATTTGGAATGTCAGGGAGACAATATTCATTGTGGCCGCTCTTTTTTACACCGTACAACCTGCCACCGGAGATGTGCATGCGACGAGAGTTTCTATTCTTGACCATATTAATACCTGGTCCAAAGCATCCAAAAAGATCTTTCAACGTTTTTCTACAACCACTAATTAAAGAGTTGAAAGATTTCTGGTCAATAGGGGTGAGGACATATGATTGTTCAACGAAAAAAAATTTTACGATGCGAGCGATGCGTTTGTGGACCATAAGTGACTTTCATGCATATGGGATGTTGTCTGGGTGGACTACACATGGGAGATTAGCTTGTCCATATTGTAATGAAATGAGAGATGCGTTCAGTTGAAGCATGGTAGGAAGAGTAGTTGGTTCGATTGTCACCGTCGATTTCTTCCCGTTTACCATCCATACCGAAGAAACAAGAGATTGTTCAGGCACAAAAGGGTTGTCAGAAACACTCCTCCTCCATATTTAACTGGAGAACAAATCGAAGCGCAAATCGATTACTACGGTGCTCTAGAAACAGCTCCTCGTGGTGGGAATTGGCATGTTCCTAGTAATATGCCTGATTCTTATTCAGCACAATTGGCACAAAAAGAGTATATTTTGGGAATTGCCATATTGGAAAGATCTTCTTTTGCGCCACAACCTCGATGTGATTCATATAGAGAAGAACTTTTTTTAGAACATCGTGAACACTATATTGAATGTCCCAGGAAAGACGAAAGACAACGTAAAATCAAGGTTGGACTTACCCGATATCTGCTCAAGGAGTGAGCTACATATAAAAAGCAATGGACAAGTTCCAGTTCCGATATTTAGACTGTCATCAGAAAAAAGTCTGCGTTGTTGAACGGGGTGGCTTCAGAAGTGAAGTTCCCTAATGGGTATGTTTCAAATCTCTCAAGATGTGTTGAGAAAGGGAAAAAGTTATCCGGGATGAAGAGCCATGATTGTCATGTCTTTATGCAATGACTACTTCCTTTTGCATTTGCGAAGCTATTACTGGCAAAAGTACATGAAACACATTCAGGTAATTAATATAATACGACGCAAAGATTAATTTATTTCTTTATTTATATATATATTAATGTGTATATTTTTTTGTTTTTGTAATATATAAGGAATTAGAGCATTTTTTAGGGATCTAAGCTCCCGCACTCTTAAAGAGGAAGTTGTCCAACAACTTCATGAAAACATCCCCATCTTAATCTGCTACTTGGAGAAAATATTTCCGCCTACTTTTTTTGACGTCATGGAACACCTAGTTGTCCACCTCCCATATGAGGCATTACTTCGTGGACCTGTGCATTATGGATGGATGTATCAGTATGAAAGGGCCATGAAAACTTTGAAAGGAGAAGTCAAAAACCTAGCAAGAGTTGAAGGTTCTATTGTTACAGGAAGTTTGATGGAAGAAACATCACATTTAACATCGTACTACTTTGCACCGAAAGTACGTACAAGGAAACGAGCTCCAAGAAGATATGATGATGGTGGTGTCGTGCCGACATATATGGAAGACGACGTTCCATACATCTTTTGTCAAATTGGGCGATTGGGTGGGAAATTGAAAGAGGTTTGGTGGTCGAGTGATGAAGACGTCCATAGTGCACACTTTTATATTCTTCTTAATTGTGAGCATCCATTGATTGGTTATTTTGAAAGGTAAATATATAAACATACACACTTATATATATATATATATATATATATATATATATATATATATATATATATATATTTCAATATTAAATAACATAACATATATGATTTTACAGTCAATTTGTGACTCAAGTCGAAGAAGCAATACCTGGTATATCGACAACCGAGTTAGAAAAAAAAAAAGATCAACACTTTATCAAGTGGTTGAGGAAACATGTATTTATTATAGCTTAAAGTTTATGCATACATTACCACAAAGTAAGTCTAATGCCTAGTTCTATTATTTTTTTGCAGGTTGATTATGACGATCTTGAGTATCCCGCATGGTTTCGCGAATTACTTCAAGGTCCAGTTGCAAAGGTCACTGCATCATCGATGTATTTCACTCGAGGGTATACTTTTCATACCTATGACTATGGTAGACACCGCGCGACAAGTAATTCATATGTGTGAAAGGCAAAACATATTTCTACGGGATCTTGCAGGAGATTTATGAAGTTCAATTCCCAGGTATGAGTTTGAAATGCGTTATCTTCAAGTGTGAGTGGTACGACCCCGTCGTCAACAGAGGTGTTCGGATTAACAAGAATGGTGTAGTTGATGTCAATGGTGGACGAAGGTACAACAAATTCTTTTTTTTTACATCCAGGTTTCGAGTACTAATTAATTTCTACGTTTTCTTTATTTTTGCAGGTACAACAAGTTTGAGAATTTCATATTAGCTTCCCAAGAAGATCAAGTTTTCTTCATTCCTTACCCTCGGAGTACTACCTCGGGAATAAACTTGTTAGCTGTTTTCAAAGTTACACCTCGTGGACGAATAATCGCTGGAGAAGAACCACCATTACAAGAAGAAAACACCAATGAAATCGAGGAACCTGAAGCGGAAATTGATGACATCCTACTCATTGATCCGCATAATCGTGAATACGATGATGTTCCTGATCACTCGACGGACGAAGGTATAGAGGACGAGTTTTACGAAAATGATGATGTTTCAACAGATTACGAGAATGTATCTGAATGAATTATGTATGTTTTATAAGTTTGTTTAATCACAAACATGAATTTGAATTATATGTATGTTTTAAGTTTGTTTAATCACAAAATTAATTTGAATTTGGGGTTTATGTGTAGAAGATGTTTGGAGTTTGGTTGTAGAAGAGGTTATAAGTTAAGGAAGTTGTGGTTTGGGGTTTGGAGTTTCGAGTTTAGGGATTTACAAACCCTTTCCTCGTAAAACCCTAGTAACAGAAAACACGGGTATAGCTGTTTCCTCGTAAAGGCTGTTTCCTCGTAAAGTCCCAGTAAAAGTGTTACTAGGACTTTACAAGGAAATAAAAACGCGGGCATAGTTATTTCCTCGTAAAGGCCTGGAAACCCTAAACGCGGGCATAACTATTTCCTCGTAAATGTACTAGGACCTTACGAGGAAACAAAATTCCTTATATAAACTCGAGCCATCCGATTTTTCTCATTTGTAGCAATCTCCTCTCTGAATCCTCTTAAGGTTCTCTCTATTTCCTAGTTAGCTGATTAGATTAGGGAATTTAGATTAGGTGGTTAGTTTAGGAAATTTAGATAAGGTGGTTAGTTTAGGGAATTTAGATTATGTTAATTTAGGTTTTTTAACTTTTTTTTTAAATGATACTAGTATATTAATGTTTTTAATTTTTTTTTTTCGAAATTTAGATGACTAGAAAGAGCAAGCTTGATAGGGCTAAGAGGCCTCTTCAGGGGAGTCATTACGGCGATATGTTCGGTCGTCAGCCTGGTCCTCACATAGGCACATCGTCTTCTTGAGCTCCCGGTTCTTCGATTCCGGAAGACTTTGTTCCCGAGACTCATGGTTTTATATCGTCTGCCCAAATAATAGCAAAGTTGTAAGAGAGTAAAACGGTCACACGAACCATCAAGAATCCAGATATGATCCTCCTTTATGTTGGTTCCTCTTGGTCATATCAGATCTCTGCCATCTTCTCCGTCAAGCTTCTTCTGTTCTACTTCTCTAAAGCTAACGTAGGATCTCCTTGTCCGATCAATGGTGAGCCTCCCACTTTTCCTTCCTTATAATAAAACTGTTTTCTCTTAATCTCTAGCTCTCTGCTTCTGATGCAACTTCATCTATCTTAGATACTTCTGATGTTAGTACTTTTTTTTATTGACTATTGAATGTTGAATCCAGGCGTACCAATCTTGAGAAACATTAGTGAACTTCCTCAGGATACCTATGGAATACCTGGTCTTACCAACATGACTGCTGCTGGGTCTGTATTGCACGGAATGAAAGAGGTAACGCTTAAACTCTGTCCATATGTATCTGCTTGTTTCTTGTAACCAAACACTTATGTTTCTTTTCTTTTGGTTCTGTCATGGTTGGAAATCGTGTTGATGGAGATTTTTCCGACAAGTTACACAATAGATAACAGTAACATTGGTTTTATTGAATTAAAATAAATAAAGAGAAATATAGATTTTATTCTATCTTCTCTAGTAAGCCAAGGGTGTTTGGTTACTAGAGTAAGCATATTCTTCTTCTCTTTATAACCTATTGTAATAACATTTTTCAGATCTAAGGAAAAAATTTATCCTTCTGTACTCTTTTCTCTCATCTCTCTTTTGTTCTTCAATCTCAAATCTTCACTTTCTTACATGGTATCAGAGCAATAAGCTCTTGAGTACCTATTTTGCTTCCGAGATTTAACTCTGATACTCTTTTTTATTTGATTTATCAATCTTTTCCTTCTATTTTCTTTCCAGATCTACTTTATTTTGTGGGTAAGAAATTTGTGTTCTTGAGTTGTACAAATTCAGTGGTTGTTTTTCCTTGGCTTCTTTGTGTAACCAGTGGGTAATAGTCTCTGAAGATGAATCAATTCATACAAGTCAAGATTATTGTTGTTCTCAAGGGAGGAGAAAACTAAATCACTTGGTCTAGATTGGCCAAAACAGCCCTTGGAGGAAGAGGTCTTTGAGAGCATATCACTTCAAGTTCTGCACCAAGGCAAACCACCCAAGGAGAAGATGGCAAAGAGATTGTAGTGGTAGATGAAGGAAAATGGGGTCAGGAAAATCTCATGGTGCTGTCTATCTTGCATAGCTCTTTTGATGGTCCTATCATGGACTATTACTCACAATGTGAAACTCCAAAACAGTTGTGGGATACCTTGAAAAATGTGTATGGCAATACTTCAAATCTGACCAGAATCTTTGAAGTTAAGAGAGCCATCAACAATTTGCAGCAAGAGGAGACTGACTTCACCAAGCACCTTGGGAAGTATAGTCAGCTATGGTTGAAATTGGAAATGCTAAGGCCAAACACTAATGATCCCAACACTCTTGAGGAGAGGCGTGAGCAAGACAAGGTATTTGGTCTTCTTCTCACACTCAATTCAAACTTCAGTGATGTGGTTAAACACATATTGAGAGCTAAGGAGCTCCAAAGCTATGATTATGTGTGTGCGCAACTTCAAAAGAAGATCGGCTCAGATGGTCTCTTTGGGAGAAAAGAAGAGATGTCTATGGCAAACAAGGCTGAGAAGGTGGAAAGTACAGCAGCTAATAAAGCTCATTTCAAACCAAGGGGAGGAGGAGACAAGCATGTGGCTTGTGAGTATTGCAAGAATTTGGGACACTTCAAAACCCACTGCTGGATCCTCCAGCCGCACCTCAAACCAGCCAAGTTCAACCATGCCAAAGCACAAGAAGCAAGAACTCATGAGTACACTGGTGGTTCCACCTCTCACGCTATGTCCCAGCCATCTCCTGATAATGCATTCATCCGCAAGTCAGACATTGAGGCCCTTATAAAGGCTCTTAATCCGAACTCCGGTAACATTAGTATTAATACTTTAAACTTTATTCACTATAAAGGCTCTTAATGCGAACTCCGGTAACATTAGTATTAATACTTTAAACTCTATTCACAATGGATCTCACACTGCTAGACCTTTGATCATTGATTCAGGAGCTTCTCATCATATGATTAGGGATGCTAGACTGATTAATAATGTTCCCAGCTCTAGGCAGTGTAGAAATTGCAAACGGTGATAAAATACCCATAGAAGGAATAGGAAATCTGAAATTGTTTAATAAAGATTCTCAAGCTCTTTGCATGCCCACTTTTACTTCAAACTTATTATCTGTTAAGAGCGCAACTAATGACCTAAATTGCAATGTTATTTTCAGTCTTAATGATGTTTGCTTTCAGGAAATTAAGACCAGTAAGATGTTGGGAAAAAAGTGTGAGCAAGGGAGCTATATTTGCTTGAAGACACCAAACTTTCAGATTTATCTTGTGCATTTAATTCTACTTTTGTTTTAGCTAGTGATGTGTTATGGCATGCTAGATTAGGTCATCCTCATTCTCGTGCCTTAGGTTTGATGTTACCTAATCTATCTTTTAAGAATAGAAGTTGTGAGGCTTGTATTCTTGGTAAACATCAGAAATCTGTTTTTCTTAAATCAATGACTATTTACGAGAATTGTTTTTATCTTGTGCACTCTGATGTTTGGACTGATCCTTGCGTGTCTAGGGAGAATCATAAGTATTTTGTTACATTCATAGATGAAAAATCAAAATATACTTGGCTCACCCTAATAAAAATCTTCAGGTCTGATAATGGGGGAGAATATACAAGAAATGCTTTCAAACATCACTTAACAAAACATGTGATTATCCATCAAACAAGTTGTCCTTACACGCTCTAACAAAATGGAGTAGCTGAAAGGAAGAATCGCCATCTTATGGAGGTTGCAAGGAGCATGATGTTTCACACCAATGTTCCTAAGATATTTTGGGGAGATGCGGTGGTATCAGCTTGCTATCTGATAAATAGAATCCCCACCAAAGTTCTCCAAAATGTCTCTCCCTTTCAGGTATTAAACAAAATTAAACCTCCAATACATCATCTACGTGTGTTTGGGTGTGTTTGTTATGTCTTGACACCAGGAGAAATGAGAAACAAGCTAGAAACCAAGAGTGTCAATGACATATTTATTGGATACTCCCACACGCAGAAGGGTTATAAGTGCTACATTCCTGATTCAAGAAGGGTTATGGTCTCAAGGGATGTTAAGTTTGTGGAATCTGAGGGGTACTATAAGGAGAAGGGTTGGGAAAGTCTCCAAGACCTCTCACAAAGACCCTCAGATAGGGCAAACAGCTTGAGAATTATCCTGGAGAATCTTGGCATAAGTAAGCCTCAGAGCAGTGAAGTGCCAAGGGCTTCTTCCTCACCGTCATCTGCTGGAAACAATGAAGAAGCAACACCAGTTGTTGAAACTGGTCATCTTGATCTTGAAGGGGGCAATGAACCTGAATTACAGCTGCAAGAAATAGATGACTCAACAAGCACGCATGATCAAGATGAACCTGAAATTGACAAGTCTATTGAAGATCAGGTTAATGAAGTCCAAGGGCAGGAAGAGGTACGTAGTGTCAGAAGGGCAACAAATTTAACCATTGAGAAGGAGTGCAAGAGTGAAGAAACCAACTCAGTGGGTTGATACCAAAGTGTACTTCAACAACAATGCAGTGGCTCATCCTGTCCAAGCAACATGTTCTTTTGCGAGTGTTCCTCAAGAGCATGTAGTCTTCATCAGTAATTTGGATCAAGAGTACGTCCCAAAGACTTATGGAGAAGCCATGGAACATGAAGAGTGGAGAGAGTCAGTTGGAGATGAGGTTGGTGCCATGATCCGAAATGGTACTTGGTATGAAACCGAACTACCTAAAGGCAAGAAAGTTGTGACCAGCATGCTACTCTTCACCATCAAATATCTGGCGGGAAAATGCGTTTTTGGTTTTGGCGGGAAAATACATTTTTCAGTTTTGACGGAAAAATGCGTTTTCGGATTTGGCAGGAAAAACACCTTTTCGGTTTTGGCAGGAAAAACGTGTTTTTCTTGTTTAGCGGAAAAAACATGTTTTTGGTTTTGACAGAAAAACGCATTTTCGGTTTTGGCACGGAAAACACATTTTTTAGTTTTGGCAGGAAAAACGTGTTTTCGGGTTTGGCGGGTAAACGTGTTTTTCGGGTTTGGCGGATAAACGTGTTTTCGGGTTTGGTGGAAAAAAGAGTGTTTCGGTTTTAGCGGGAAAACGTGTTTTTGATTTTGACGGAAAAACGCGTTTTTTGGTTTTGACGGAAAAATGCGTTTTTCGGATTTGACCGAAAAACGTGTTTTTGGTTTTGGAGGGAAAACGTATTTTCCGGGTTTGGTGGGGAAAACACGTTTTTGGGGTTTGGGAGGAAAAACACGTTTTTCCGGTTTGGTGGAAAAACGCATTTTTCGGTTTTGGCGAGTAAATGCAGTTTTCTCATTTTTTCCATGAGTTTAAAAATAATATTAGGTTTAGGTTTATAATTTGTGAATTATATTAGGGGTATAATAGACATTATATTATTTTGACAAAACAAAACGTAATTTTACGCGGCGATGGCGACAGAGAACCTAAATTAGGGTTTTCTTATGGATTTTGCGAGGCTTCAAGGTTGGGATCCGGGTATTCACGGAAGATCTCCAGTTCATGAGAAGATCTACTTCGGTGGGACGAGTGGACTGGAATTTTTTGGTACAAGATTTATGGAAAATCGGTTAAATGAGGTCTACAGAGTCATGATTTGGGCAGGAAGAATGGCGGGAGCAGATAAGATCTGGGTTAGCTCAAGATTTCAGGAATTGATGGCGATTCCACAGTACCAATCACCAGATTTTCATGGAAAGGGTTTTACTCTCTTTAAAGTAAAACTTTCCTTACGTGAGCGGGATCAGATTCGAGGTCAGGATACAAGGTGTTATGATTGGAATTTTTACCGATTTGCCTCTATTACTTTGGAGGAGCATGAAAGACAAGATGGGATATTGGGATCCGAATTTGGGATTCTCGAGATAGCTTATGGAGATATTGATATTAATGGCACAGTTCAACTTAAGAAGAAGATTAAGAATGAGGCCCTGAGTTTAGTTTTGGTATCGGTTCTAGGGAGACTAAAGGAGACTATTCCCATCAGGACAGCATGGAGTGTCCTGGCGGTAATGTTACAAAGCTTTAGACTTATGAATTCTTGTCTGTTAGGTTGGAAAAAATATGGGAGCCTTATGGTTACTCCTACGATCGTGGAGATATGGCTTCTGGGTTTTATTTCTAGACTAATGAATACTGTTAATTTAGTTGATGTGGGAAGGACTTTAGTTCTAAAGCTACGGTTCATAACGCATTATACTGTATCTGGAATCTGGTCATTGTTGCTATGGTTGCAAGTTTTGATTCATACCGGGGCTGTATATACTGCTGCAGTCTTAACGGAGATATTCCCGCGTTCCAATGGCAGTCATTTTTTCTGGCTGGTCTCTTTAAACCAGTCTCGAGTAATGGATCTGGGTTTAGGAAAGATGCAAGGTGGTACTCAAGGATTTATGGTGGCTATCCAAGTAGTTTTTCATGATAAGGATGTTGGAATAGAGGAATGTAACATGCTTTTTAAAAGCGTATGGTCCTCTGGTTTGGCTATTGTTGGTGTTAGATGGATAACTTATGGTATCGTAATTTCTAATTGGTCATTACAAGTTC